ATTGAATTACCATGGCTTAAAGTTAGAATGTAATAACAATACAAATTACAAAAAGTCCACTGTTCTTATTTGTATTCTCCAATAAACAAGAAGCAAAATGACTTTTTAACCAGCTTTCAAATATTTTCCTGTCTTTTTTTAAACCATTTACCCTTGATCTATCTTTATTATTATTTATGCCTTGCCCTGTTCCCCACTCCTCTCCCCCTGCAATGAGAATCCCTCTATGTAGCCTAGATCAGGCTGTAGCCTAGATCAGTAGCCTCAATTTCACAATTCCCCGAAATTACTGATGTGACTTACCTCTTGGCTTTCTTGTTCCTTTTGATAACTCGAGTAGAATGAAAATCCTATATAAACTCAACCACTCACTTTGACTAATGTCAGCATCTGGGAATCTTGACGATCAGTCAACGTTAGAGGAGAACAGAAGCTTCTCTTGGGATAGAAACTGGAGTGGTAGTGACATGGCCTCTTAGTCTCCTCTCCAGACTCAATGGTGCTTTCATTGCTCAAGTGAGTCTAACCATTGAGATGATCAATTTGGACTTCTTCCTCTTCTATTCTTTTTCCATGGTCTTTAAGGGAGATCCAGGTTTTAATTATTTTAAGCAATTGCATTCAAGAGACTATTGATAATGACTTTCTAGAAATACTCAGACTAATCCTCCCTCTTCTAATGACTGCATATCATGTATTTAGAATTCGTAGCAGCAAAAAAGTGCTGGATAGACAGTTAAGGTTTTGGAAGCAGTGAACTTTTCCTTGTATTTTCTATAACATTCTATCTACCTGAGAATAAAACCAATCTTAGTAATAAATAGATAAATGTCCCTAGCAAATCCCAACTGAGCAGATTTTAAATGTTTGTGAGACGAGTCCTATTTTTTGTCCTCAGAATAGAATTCATTTCCTCCCCATAATGGAGATGATTGGGGAAACAGATATTTTCCTACAGACAGGTCCAGATACGCTTTATTACATGGCATAAACACAAAGCACTGATATTTGTTTGAAATATGCCTCCGAAAGCCTCCAAAAGGGAAAAAGTGTGTGGAAATGGCATGAATTAGGACAGGCTATAATATTCTGAATGTACAGTCTGTACTCAGCCTTGCTGTTTTGCAAAAAGCATCTAAAATTTATGCTTTTGGATTTGTCAGTTTAAAATTGTGAGCTGTATGTTAGCCTGGCTCAGTAAAATATTGAAGACACGGCTGTAGATGGGCGAGTGGGGGTGGGAAGGGTAATACATCACAATCGAAAGCATCGTGCAGACTTTATAAACTCTGCAGAGATTTTTATCCCATCTCATTTGTGAATTTCAGGATTTGCATATTATCTCCTCTTTCTTCTCTTAGATATGTATGAAGGACAATAAATTATATTGTTTTTCTCTTACTTTCTGAGGCTCACTGTCAATGAAAAAACTGTAAAAAGGTAATATCCTTAATAAATATGTGTGGACAAATCACAACACAAAGAAGGAAGGTTAGGATAGAGGTGATGGGGCTCACTGACTCATAGGTGCCAAGCTGGAAGTTCCCATGTCCCTCTATATCAATCTAGTCACAACTCTCTTTATTTTGAAGCTCCAGAGAGGATGCAGTTTTCAGCATCACTATCTGCAGCCATTTAAAAGGAGACATAACATTAAACACTGGAAAAGGGAATTATTTAGGCCTCATTCAAGTAATTCCTGATGCCATTCACTTACAGAACATCAGAGGAATGAGAAAGATGTCCCTAAATGCCGAAACAAGAGATTCCAAATTAAGTCATATTTTAAGTCTTTTTTCTCTTTCAGAGACAATGCTTCTTTTTGCTAGGGTTTCTACTGCTGTGACAAAACATTGTGACCAGAGAAAATTTGGGAGGAAAGGGTTTATTTGGCTTATACTTCCACATCACTGTTCATGTGAAGTCAGGACAGGAACTCAAACAGGGCAGGAACCTAGAGACAGAAGCTAATACAGAGGCCATGGAGGAGTTCTGCTTACTGACTGTTCAACCTGCTTTCTTATAGAACCAGGACCACCAGCTCAGCAATGACACTACCCTCAGTAATCTAGGTCTTTTAAAGAAAGACCTTAATCCTTTTAAGATTAATTTCAATTAGTAAGACTAATCTTTAAAAATTAAAAAAATAAGATTAAATAAAGAATAACACTAATCTTCTTAATCTTACAATATTTTCCAGACTTGCCTACAGCTCAAACTTAGGGAGAGATTTTATTAATTGACATTCCTGTCTCTCAGATGAATTTAGCTTATATCAAGTTGGCATTAAACTAGCCAACAAAATGTCCCAGTCTTTGACTGTTTATATTTTTCACAAACCCAAACTCAAAGATCTTTAAAGTCCACCTGGGGAGCATGGCCCAATATCAGATCCCTCTGTTAAAATGTTTTTTTCAGTCATAGATGATTACATTAACTCCTTATGCTATGTTAAAGAACCCTCGAGACATAGTTTTCTATCATTTTGATATATGAATAATCTGGTTCTGTTGGGTAAGGCAAAGAAAGTAAGTGGGAACTAAGCCATTCCTACAAAGACTTCTTCAAGCCTATCTAATTACCATACTGGTTGCTCACAAAAAATCATGCCATTAGAGTATTACTTTAAGAAGCCATTTTCTTCCTGGCATCCTCCCTCCAGTTCTTAGGATGTAACATAAGAATTCACCTACACTAGGTCCTACTATCAGGTGTCATTCACAGACTGCTCTGATGGAGGAAGGTCATTGGCTAATAAAGGAACTGCCTTGGCCCATTTTATTGGTTAGAAGATAGGTGGGAGGAGTAAACAGAACAGAACGCTGGGAGGAAGAGGAAGTGAGCTCAGACTCCACAGCTCTCCTCTCGGGAGCAGACACCTCAGAGAGACGCCATGCCCTGCTCCCAGGCAGACGCATGCTATGAAGCTCCAACCCAGGATGGACATAGGCTAGAATCTTCCCGGTAAGACCAGTGCTACAGTTTATTAGAAATGGGTTGATCGGGATATCAGAATTAGCCAGTAAGGGCTAGATAGAAATGGGCCAAGCAGTGATTAAATGAATACAGTTTGTGTGTTGTTATTTCGGGCATAAGCTAGCCAGGCAACTGGGGTGCTGGGGACGCAGCCCCGCCGCTCATATTACTACACTGCTCTTGATTTTTATCTTGAGTCATGGTCTCACAAAAGCTGCCTGGTCTGGTCTCCAACTTGAAATGTTATTTCCATGGTCTCCCAAAGAGTTGGAATGGTAGGCATCAGCCTTAGGTCCCAACTAAGAAAAGCTATGATTTAAACACTGTTGTTCTGCTTCAATACAAGCACAGAACTGACCCTGTGTCCATGTTGGGTTATAATTGAGACTGAGTGCATGCCACCATGTCAGATGAGAGGACATTTAAAATCTCATCATTTGGGTTTCTACATACATATCAATCATTTGAACCGCTTTCCCCATATTTTTATCTGGTTGTTTGAAATTGATTTCATCTGCTACTAGGCACTCTGATGCATGTTGTAAAAAATCTCTATATACATCTGGCACAACACTCTTTGAGGCAATATCATGTGGGCATCACCCTGGGAATGATGACAGCCTAATGAAGGAACATAAGCATTTTCCTCAAGCAATTGATTATGAAATTGATATGCAGCTATAAGGGGAAAGAGTCGAAGCTAGCGAATACGTCCAGAATTCCTACTGTGAATGAGGCACCTCAAGGTCCAAAGCAGGAGCAGAAGGAGAGGGAGAAGGAGCAAGGAACTCAGGACCGCGAGGGGTGCACCCACACACTGAGACAATGGGGATGTTCTATCGGGAACTCACCAAGGCCAACTGGCCTGGGTCTGAAAAAGCATGGGATAAAACCGGACTTGCTGAACATAGCAGACAATGAGGACTACTGAGAACTCAAGAACAATGGCAATGGGTTTTTGATCCTACTGCACGTACTGGCTTTGGGGGAGCCCTAGGCAGTTTGATGCTCACCTTACTAGACCTGGATGGAGGTGGGCGGTCCTTGGACTTCCCACAGGTCAGGGAACCCTGATTGCTCTTAGAGCTGATGAGGGAGGGGGACTTGATCGGGGGAGGGGGAGGAAAATGGGAGGCGGTGGCGGGGAGGAGGCAGAAATCCTTAATAAATAAATAAATTAGAAAAACCTGTAAGTCTCAAAGCAAGTATTCAAAGTCTGTTGTGTTCTCCATAGAATCTTAATATCATGCTTAATAAGTGGATATGTTCTTAACCTTCTCAACATGGGTGCTAGGGACAAAAATCTGCTATTCATGGTAGTAAAAGTCATTGTAAATCAAAACTCTGCTCATTCACAATATGTTAAGGGGAAAAAATTGCATGCTTGGGCAGAAACTTCCCATGGTTTGGAGTTAGAAAGATGGAATAGAAGTACCTAATATGAAAGAAGGGCTAGAAGAAAATAGCCATATGGATTTAGATTTGCCTCTGGATTCCTAACCGTTTTAGTTTCTTGACTTTCAGCCATTTACAAATGTATGCTTCCTCTTAATATATGAGCAATGATAGAAAAGGGGCCTGTCTTTGCATGACACATTGAAAGACTTATTCCATCTTAGATGCATACATTATTATGAAACTGCTGACATTTTTATTTTTATTTTGTCAATTTCTCAGGGTCTGGTGATTTGAATAAGTAAGATCCCTCATAGTCTCAAGCATTTTGAATCCTAGCTGTTGGTGTTTGGGGAGGTTTGGGAGGTTTCTGGAAGAAGTATATCACTGGGGTAGGGCTTTGAGAGTATGGACCTTCTAGGTCACTATCTCTGCTTTATGCTGTTATTTCATGTGATTTCTTAACTTTCTGCTTCTGCCACCATGCCTGCCCACCATGATGGACTCTATCTCTTTGGAAAGATAAGCTGAAATAAATTCTTTTTCCTCATAAATCATCATTGGCCCAGGTTCCTCATTACAGCAACATAAAAGTATCTAATATAATGGTTTTGGTACAGTTGATATACCTGAAGAGTTCATTGTAAGGAGGTTCTATGTTGTACTGGTATTTTTCAAACTATTCAGTGCTAGTAGAACAACTCCTGTGCTCCGTGATGTTGGTGGATCCAAATTCTTTGCTTCTGGCCTCCTTCTTAGGCCCCTCTCCCCCATATGTCATATGGATCTAACTGTTGTGAAAGAAAAGTATAGTAAAATTAATCTGAGAAGCTTTGGTAGTATCTAACATCATGAGTCAGAAACTTCATTTCTGGGATGCATATTTCCCAAACTAATGAATAGATAGTTCTACCTAAGGTGACATGTATCAGTATTCAGAGCGACATACCTAAATGACCATCCAGAGAGCATTGAATGCATATAACCACAATGAGATGCCATGTGTCTACAAGAATGAGCACAATGTGTAGGTATACACAACAACATAGGTAGACCTCACAAACAAAAAGTTGAGTAAAGGAGTCAGCTATAATTGAGTACACATTAGATGCAAACTTCAATAAAAAGAAAAACAAAAATATATTGTTAAATTTCAGGGTAATGGTTCCCTTTCGGGGAGATGGTAGTTTGGAAGTCACACACACACACACACACACACACACACACACACACACACACACCCCACAAAGTCAAGTCAGAAGTATAAATATGTTGAAGTAACCCTTTCCCATGCCAGATCACCATAATAAAATAAAAGCTGCTTTTGTTTTTGCTAACCTCTATTCCAATTTCAATGTGAGTTATAGAAAATGCCCTGATTTCTCTCTGTTCTATGTTCTCATAGTGTCTCCTCCAAAACACTGGGTCACTCACATCGTGATGAATATGATTAATCATATTCTAGGTTGATTATTGTACCTTTCTCTACATGGCAGGGGAAATTCTGGTAATTACAGAATCCATGGATCTAGCTCATCCTCAAAAAATTTGCTTGAGTAAGCAAGAGGCAGAAGAAAAGGAATTTAACATGGGCTGACATTGTGCATAGGTTTTACAAAGGGCTTCATCTAAGCTAGAGTTCAAATGCTGTTTAGGAAATGTATCAATACACGGAGTAGGGAAAAATGAGTGCTAACGGATGGGATACTGCATGCTATGTCCATGTAAGTCTCATTTTGTTTTCATAATAACTCTATTATAATCAACACAAGAGTCTTATCTCACTATTCTTTAATATTTAGCTAACCTAAGTAATATGTTCAAAACTCCAGTAAGTGAGTGACCAATATTTGAAGCTAATGCTTTAGTCTCTTTGCATGGTTTATTTTATAAAGATAAAAGAGTCTATTGGAACATCTAGCTGTATTCTCCTGAGTTGATGAACAATCATACTATTTAATGCATCATTTTGACCCTGGTAGATCTTGCAGATGGAAGCCTTTGGTTCCAGTGAATGAACAGTAGGATATTTTTGTTTTGTTTCTCTCATAGGCTGATATTTCTTTACAGGCTTAACCCACTTGGCCATATAAATATTAGGCAATTATTAAGGCTTTAAAACAGTCTTACCCATAGCTGAAAGGAAAAGTTTTGATAAAACAATCCAAGTGAAGTTCAAACCCTAAATCTGGAACTAGTAGTGCGAAAAGGGTTTAAGTATGAATCAGAGAGAGTAGTGGCTCTCATACATAGACAAAGATGACCCTTTGGCACTACTGCAACGCTCTAGTGCCCACTGTGCTCTCAAAGATGAGCCTCATAGTGTTTCCAAGTGCCTAGATATTTATGAGCACAGAGAATGACTAAAACTCATAGCTCTTTAGTTTCCAGAAAACCAGAAAGGTCCATGTTGAAGTTTTATTTTATATGTAAACTCACAGAATTATGAAGCTGAGAATGAAAATGCACAAAACAAATACAACTCAAAGTGATTTTATTTAACTGTCTTCTCCTAGGCTTACTTCTCACAGCAATTCATTAGTTAGCTTTTGTAGTCTAACCAACCACTTTAAATGTAGTAGCCCAAAATAATATGTTTGTATATTTTTAGATAGATCGTTAAGGTTCAGGTTCTATTCAGAATTGGGTTGAGGGTTTGTTTATGAATTTTGGTCAGCTGCTGGGTCCATAGAGGTGAATTGATCTAGGATGGTCTTGTTTGAATAGTTTGTTCTCTGGAATTACCTTTGAGTTTCCTGGGCTTGACACCACAGAGAGTATGAAGGCTGTTGTTTCCAGTGCTTTCTTTTGGCAAATCAAGTTGCAAGCCCAGACCAAGTTCAAGGAAGAGGGAATAAATTTTGCCACATGATTGAATGGGCAGAAAGTCCACATTTTCTGAGATAAGAATGTAAACAGACAAAGACCTAGGGAAATATTTTAATGACATCACTAGTGTCGTGAAATGCAGGTGTTGCTCTATCGCTACTAGGACCACTAGGGCAAAGGTAAGGTCAGTTCAGTGTCCCAATCTGCAGTCATAGGCCCTCCATTGCTATTGCCTTTCCACTCTGGGTGGTAACTGAGGGTCTCGCCTGAAAGGCTGGCAATTTTACACAGTATTGTGGTGTGTAATCAGGATTGCACGTGATTTTTGTTTCCTTTTATATTACTTGGTTTTATAGTTAACGTTAAAGAAAAGGACAACTTTTAGTAGGCTATAAAAAGATTTATATGTTTAAAATAAAGGGATATGCTTAATGGTTTATTGTTGAAAATTAGGGGTGAGTGTCAAGGTAAGTCTTTTAGAAGCCCAGCTGTCAGGGCATACTTTTTTATCCTATTGAGAGAAGGATATAGCAGGTGGCATTGACTCAAGGAATTTGAAATAGGATAGAACGTAGTATCTGACTCTCACTTCACTACCTGGATCAGATTCTAATTGGAAGGGGTTCTCTGAGAAGAAGGATAACTTGGACCACCTGGTATTTCTTTAGAATTATGCACAAATGGTTTGCCTATTGTTTTCGAATTCTCTGTGGCAGTTTAACCTGGTGAAACAAGATGGACTCCAGTCACTATCAGATGCCACTACAGATTTAAATATTTTGTGATATGCTGTTTTCAACTGCTGACAGATTCTATGTTATATTGTGGACCAGGGAAGCTCATCTGTTGTTCCCCAGTACCCAACTCTGCTTACAGAAGATGCTGCCAATGTCTCTGGGGGAAAGTTCCTGTATCCTGAAGTGTTTGGTACCTCAAACTTCTGGTTCTTTCTGCCCCATGGCTTTCTGTGGCTGTGGGAGATGGCTTGGTATCCGAAGACAGGCTGCCAGAACTAATAATTTGGCATCCCAAAGAAAAGTTCTCATCCAAAGTGAAGTAGAAACTGACAAAAAAAAAAAAAGCTTTAAATTTCTCAGCTCATAGTAGCACAATTCCAAAGTGTTACAAGCTTCCTTCTAGCATCTCTAGTGCCTGGAAATCTGTACATTAATCATCCTCTTCCTTTTATTTGAGTCTGAGATAAAACTTCGGTGCTTGTAGCAGGTTTCTGGTTGATCTCCCTTATTGGTTTTTCCTTTGTTGCCTGTAGTTAACGCCGGCATTTCTCCACCATACATTTGTCTGTGTCTGTTCTGCTTTACACTTTCCTGTTTGCTGGTTTTATTTTCACATTAAACCTTAAGCATCATAATCCAAAGATGGGGTGCTGGAGAGATGGGTCAGTGATAAAGAAGATCAGATGCTCTCCAGAGAACCTGGGTTTAATTCACAGCACCCACATGTCAGTTCACCAGAATTCAAGCTCCAGGTGATGCCATGCCCTCATCAGTCATGTGATTCCACATCAATCATGTATGTGGTCCACAGATAAAAGAGTAAGAAAAACATTCACACACACACAAATTATAAATTATTTTTAAGAAAGAGTGCGTAACTATAATTTTCATTGTAGTCATAGATATGAGAGGACCAGGGTCCATAGTCCAAAATTCAAAGCTAACTATTTTTTTAATAAATATGCACAAAGATTAAAATGTTTTATATCTGCAGTATCTAATATGGTTGGCAATAGCCACATTTAGTTATTAAAAATTAAAATGCAGCTAGAGTGATTGAGATGTAGAATTACTAATTTAAATTCCAATTTATAGTTTATAATTTATATTTAAGTAGCTACATGTGGCTACCACCTTAGATAGTCTTTGCTGTATTCTGGCTTTGTTTTGTTATAATTGTACATGTTTAATCCACAATTTTCTTTTCTTTTTTTTTTTAATCCACAATTTTCTAATTGGCAAAATTACAATAGATTTGTTTTTTTATTGTTTTTCGAGGAGGATCTTTTATAGAAAGTTCAAATATAGAATCCAAATAAATCTATAATAAAGTCCTAGACTGATTAAATAATAATCACAGAATAAAAAAGATCATATTTTCAACAGATATAAAGATACTCTTTAAGCATCTATTATTAAGAAGGTAAGGTGCTTGAGCTATAAAAAAATAGACCAAGTGAAAGAATGCAAGTCTAGACATGGGTGTTATGAGCACTTGGGTCTTTGCTACATAGTCATTTGGAACAAGGAAACATAAATGGAGTTAGGACTGCTGTGTCATGCCTAATGGGAAAAAAAAAACACCTGCTTTCAATTTCTTCATAATGAACGTGGGTGTTTTGATAGATAAGTAGAAATAACATATAAAAGAATTAAAAAGAAGGTGGTATTTTTTGTTATAAGTTGGGGAAAATGTCTGTAATTGAATAATATAAAAACAGCTAGTATCAAAATGGGTAAGTGCAAAAGCACTTTAAACTGGGGCGATAAACAATAGCTATATTTTTAATTATAGTGATAGCAGTTTAAAATATTTAGAAATGTGAAGTAACTCACTAACTATAAAAAGATAGCTTTTGATCTGGCCAAAGATCTCATGCTCAGATTTCTCCTGAGCATCAGGACAAATTGTGCTTCTGTGAATGGCCCATTAGGTTTCCCTGTCTCACCTTTCTCAGCACTGTACATTGTCATGCTTGTTCCATTCAGATGGTCTCAGGGAAGGCGTTTTCTTCTTTGTTCTCAGATATCATTGGTTGATGATGAGACTGGACGTGTTTTTATACAGTGAGTCTGTAATCTGTTCCTATCCAGCTCATCTCATTCTCCTCTGCAAATTTGCTGTTTCAGTTCCTTTTTGATGTGCAGCAAGTTATCATGAAATCTCTTCTTTTCATAAGACTGGAATCTAACATCATATTTCATCCTCCTTAACTGTCTA